GCATACTTCTCATACCAATTTGCCGTTATGCTTACGAATTCGTAAAATATAGCATGTTGTGTAAATACTCACAGCCATCCTCACTGCCATAGTCTATTGTCACGTTTTTTGATTAATTCATTCAACTGATCAATTCGACAACGAATTCGTAAGCATAACGGCGAATTGGTATGAGAAGTATGCGAATCGATGAGAAGAGATGAATCTATCTATTTTTAACGTCAGAGAAAAGTGTCCTGTCCCTGACATCAATTCGTATTTTACGAATTGTATTTATTAATTCGTCGGTTATGCTTTGGCATCTATGAATTCGTAAATTCACATTTTATAGTATTTTTGCCAACTTACGAATTCGTACACGATTTCTTGGGTACCAAATTAATCATCTCACGAATTCTTCGTTTTCTGATCATTTTTGTTAGTTCGCATCAGTTCCCATTGAATTACGAATTCGCTGCGAATTCGCAAAACAATGGTAAAATGCGAATTGTTGCATCATTTGTACGCCCAAAAATTGCGATTCGCCAATTCGTCTTTAGACACTTTGTCCACAGTAACGGGTCTAGCAATGTTACTGTAAGCAGTAACATTCTTAATTGATAGGTGAGAATCGTCTAATATTGAGAGGAACAATCTGTTCGAAGAGAGGTCTATATTTTCTCAACAACAATTGTAGAGTAGAGATATGGTAAAATTGTAAAAATGGATTTCTCTTGTTTAACTAATCCATGTACATCATACATTTCTCCGGTATTCCTTTCAATTAGTTCTGATTCAGAATCTGATATATCTGATAACAACATTATTATTACTATCCACGACGTTGAAGATAAATATTATAAAGACGTTATCGGATCTCTACGTTTAAATAACTTTAGCTATCGTAAAAGTTAATTCAATATAAAATGAAAATATTTAACTGGTTGAAGGGTAATAACTTAAATATAAATGATAGAAAAATATTTTAAATCAGTGTGTGGTTAGAGTATACTAATTATATTAATATTTTAAATCTTTAAATATTAATATAAATGTGAGAATAAAAGCAGCTGCTTTCGAAATTCGTTTTAATTTTATTTACTTAGAAACTTGTAATTTTCTACTTTTCGAAAATACAACTTTCATTTCCAAGAAACGTACTCAAAACAGCTGTTGTTACTCTCACACTTATATCAACATAATGTGCAATAAAAGCATGAGTATAAAAGCAGATATACTTTTTCATACTATGACACTATCTAGACTATTAGTTTTCATAGACTCCTCAACTGTCTCCATTTTACATAGCAGAAAGAAGAGCAAAGCGATATAAGTAAAAATAGTGGATATATTTTTAATACGTTAAAAATGGTGATAGTTCAGGCAAACGATGGAAAAATACTGTATTCAGAATTACCACGAGAACTTCTTCCAGTACGCTATTCACAAAAATATTTTGGCTTATCATTTGATCAAGGTTGGAGTGTAAGTGAAACCTTAGTTGCATTAAAATATAATTTATTGGATATCAATAGTTTATGCACAATTGACATTGTAAAATATGATAATAAATTATGGTGTGACCATACTAAACATTTGAGAGTCTATAATGAATTGAGTAAAGATACGCTCGGACAAAGTGTACTGGATAAATTGCGTATTGTTTACATTGCTGAACTAAATCAGGAACATTGAATAGAAAAACCGAAAGCAATGGTAAAAAAACATCTATGTGGAACAAATGTAAAATTAAAAGCTTCAACAATATTAAACTGTTGTTTTGATAGACAAGATAAATTTGTTAAAAATCTTGCTGCTCATATAGCAAAAGATCATTTACATGTGACCTTAGAACAAATGGTCAGTGTTAGCAATTTCTATTGTAATAAATGTCAAACACAAACGAAAATCTCATTCTTCACGACACGTCACAAGGACAAAGATAAATATATGATAAGTCGACATTGTCAATGTGGCGAAGAAGAATATTTTCGTGGAGAATTTTGTTTCTTCCATAGTTGAAATAAAATAGAGAGAATAACTAGTCGAATTTGATACTTCCTTTGAAAGGAAGAGTGTACGCATAACAACATTTTATATCACTTCATTCTTAAACTGATTAAAAACAAAAGGATAGTTTTATAACAAACACGTACAAATACAGTCAAATATCAACGCGAGCAACAATGCATTCATCGATTTATTATATCCTTTGTTTTCAGTTATTATTAGGTATTACAGTAGCAATTGGAAATTCTTTATCATCAGACACAAAATTAACAATAAGACGTAAAGCTTTTTCATTCAAAATGATTCGTATATAATTAAAGAAGACGGTGATAAACCAAAGTTTGAAGTCCATCTCGCCTGGCTGAGTGATCGGGGTATGTTAAAACAGAAAAAGAAGAGCAGAGAAATATATTTTTTAGGCTGAAACATACAATACGGCTGAGAGAGCGAGACGCATAGAATTTTGTTTCATTTTTTCAGGTATACTAAAAACTTTCACTTTTAGCCTCAGTTAAATATGTTGACAGAATGCCCAGAAATGCACCGGTGTCGGTATACCGAAAATATCGATTCTTTTTGTATTTGAAATTTTTGATCTTTTCATCTGAAATGTTTAGCGTCTTGGACACGCGGAAAGAATCAGGGAGGATGCAAAAGAAGAGCTTTGTTTGCTTCCTAAAGCCATTTCCTTTATTTTCTATCTACACATGCTCAGAATACCTAGCTGAGTGTGTTTTGTTTTGTGTTCTGGCTATCCAAGACGCTAAGCTATGATAGTTTAACTCATTTCTGATGGAAAAAGTCCAATTCAAAAAATGTCGGTATTTTCGATATGGATAACGAGACCGGCGCATACCAACCCAGAAAACGAACATGCTAGAAATTATAGAGAAGTTGTACATAATATAAAGTATGCCATTGCTATGTCTAATGAAGGTTCAGTGCGCTGCTGTAAGTTAAAAATCTCAGTAATGACCTACATATAATTGCAATTGAAACACTCAGAAACTGCCCATGTACTAAAAATCGGCAATTAATTGTGAAAAATCATACGATTAATCGCGGTTAATTGCCGATTTTTTGGTGATTTTTAGGCGATTTTAGCGATTAATCGCAATTAATTGACGGTTTTTTTCTAGGTACTAGGTTCGAACCCATCTTAGGAAATACATACTTTTTTTTGTTTTTTCATTGTTTATTACGTATAATGACATGTGCGTCACACAGCATTGGTCTTAGCACCAGCTGGCGTCGGAGTCTTGCCGACGAGTCAACTTTAAACATTGCCCACATACCAGCTGTTTAGTGGGTTTCTCGGTTTAAAGCTCTGAGGAACAATAGAGAAGACTGTTGACAACTCCGTTGTATTCTAAAATAAAAAGATGACCTGAATATAAGTGTATTTTTCGCTGAAATCTTGTTTCTTATATACAAACTTTATTGCAAAAGAAAACGGTGAATAACAACAACCATTTAATCACTTAAAATCAACAATTAAGCGCCATTAAATTGATGATTTTCGTGATTAATCGCGATAGTTGACAAAGTCATCAATTAATCGCGATGCACGAAAAAATTGTCACTTAATCGCGATTAAATGACCATTTTTTCCCGAATCGCGATTGAGCATCGATTTTTACAACCATCACGATTAATCGACAAAAATGAAGCGATTTTCGGCACATGGATGAACAGGAACTGTGTAAAGAAATAAATGAAAGAAATACTTAGGTTCGAATTTTAATTTTGCTTAAAGTCTGCTAGAAAATTCTCGTTGTATTCTCCAAATCAAAATGCTTTGCTTAAAATTGTGCTTCAGTCTTACATTCTTTCAGATTTCTGTATGTTGTTGATTATTAGAAAGTCTATACTTCATTTTTATTTTATGTTTTCTTAATAGCTCAACGTGTTTATTTGGAAAGTTTACAAACTGAAGATGTTTCATATTTCATATGTAGATCAAAATTAAATGGATTATATAAATATGAAATATTTGAGGATGATACTCCTGTTGTTACGATTACATCATCGAATGTAATTGGCAAAAAATATGATGTTAAATTTATTGGACAGCAATATACACTAGAAGGGGATTTCGGTACACATGATTTTACAATAAAAAAAGATGGTGTAGCAGTTGCAACAATTAGTAAGAAATATGTTAAAAATGATGATTATGTGGTCAACATTGGATGGCAACAAAATAAAGCATTAATAAGTGTATTGGCTATGGTTATTGATGATATAGCAACTGATTAAATGTAATATGAAGTGAGAAATGATGGTGAACATTCATTATTAATTCAATTGTCCTTTTTACCATGTACTTTAAATTTTTTCTCGATAAATGTAGTGTCTTGAATTATTTTTTCTGTTTGAAATAATAAAATATTTACCTTGAATTATAGATGGATGTTTGAGGAAAAGGAACGAAAGTGTTTCAACCCAGAAGAGATAGAAAGGGAGAATTGCTGTTTTTCAAGAAAAATCTTAAGAGACAAAAGATACACTAGGCACTCAGTTAACTGAATGTAACGCTAAGTTAGACAACAACCGGAGACTTTTTGCTGTGCATGTTTAGGGTTTAAGGTGCAAAACCATTTCAAAAAACGACAGACAGTTAATCTAAGTTTGTTTCCAAAAGAAGAAGGAAAAGAGAGAATGAGTTTAATTCTCATTATACATGGTCTAATAGACCATGTGGAAAAAAAACGTCGTGTTGTAAACTAAGTGCTTCTTTCTGCTCTATACTGTAAAATGTGCAAAAACGATATTTAACTTTATTTTTATTTTTAAGATATGGAACTTTTCTTATATGTACGACAACAGCAAAACATGATTTCTGTCGCACCTAACGTAGTTATGGCACTTTCTGCTTTTTCAACTCACAACTGAATAGTTTTATGCTTGTTGTGGTTAACAACTGAGTTTCGTTACGATGACAGTGAAATGAAATCAGGCATCATGTAATCCCAATCGAGAGTGAATTTTATTATCTTATCTCTTCACTTTGCAGCCTACTTTGTAATGTTAGAGCCAGTAAACCTTTATAAATATATGTCCTCGAGAAACGTGTGATCCAAGCTATTTACAGTTCATCTTGACGTTTGTAGTCTGTGGACAATCTGGTTTCTTAGAAAGACGCAACAGTCTGGTATCCTTTTTCTCGCATGTACATGTAAGCTAATATAGTGCTTAAATTTTCGCATTATGAAATACTTTTCCAAACATCTCTTAAAAGTCGGTTATTTAAATATCTTTTGAGAACGTTTTGAATAATGAAAACCACGTGATTTCATCTTATTTCATTTCCGAATTATTCGAAAACAGCACCGGTCGTTTAATTCAAGACACTACATTTATCGAGAAAAAATTTAAAGTACATGGTAAAAAGGACAATTGAATTAATAATGAATGTTCACCATCATTTCTCACTTCATATTACATTTAATCAGTTGCTA